AAAGTTCGCTTGCTAATGTTGTTTTCCATTTCTCGCCATTTTGTTATTACTTTGTAGAAAGTTTCAAGCTATTTGGTATATAAGAACAAAACATTATCTTCAGTTAGGTCAATTTAATGTCAACATGTATTAAAATTACCATCATATTTTAATTGAAATCATAACTTTGCGTTAACACTTGAAGTGTTTCTTCTTATACCTGTTGTAGCTGTAACAGCTATATATAAATTGAAATTGTCTTAGTCACAATCAATCAACAGTTGTAGAGGTAAATTATAATACAAACTTCCTCTCTAGTCAGCACTGAGTTAATGGATTTTCCTTAAGCAACAACTTAGCTCATGAGACGTTATCTCATGTAAAATTTAAAGAATTTCATTAAGTTGCTCTTAATTAACATACATAGAAGCAACCGTATTGATGGATTTTCTAACGAAACCACTTTCCTGACAGCAACGTATCTGGAAATGAAGTAGGAAAATTAGGTTCCTCTGCAAACTAAGTTTCAAGAAACAGGCATCGTTCTAATACATTGACTAATACTTTGATTGAAAGATGTTATAGCTAATTTATCTTTAAAACTCAAACAGTTAGAAGACACAGATAAAAATGCACATTATGCATGATAGTGGATCTAGTCGTAAACGTTGGCAATAATTTTAAAAGTAAACTGTTTTACTTTTCTTGAAATAAAATATTTCATATATTTTGCTTTTTTATTTATTGCTTAGAAAATATAAGCAATAAACATAACCAAATTGTATAAATTTTAAAGTAATGTATCATAGAGTTAAAATGAAGTAGTTAGAATACTTGTTCTCTGTCTATATTTTCAGTAAAGAAATTAGTAAAAGATCGTTCAAAGTCATAATTTACATAAAACATGTGCATTTGTAATATGTAAGCAAAATTCTAATAATACAAATTAATTACATACACGGGTTGAGTACGTTATGTTAAAACGATTTTGGAGCTTCATAACGTCGTTACAGTCCATGTCGCCATGTCTGATCATGTTATGTCTTTCAATTATAGTAAGTATGTCATGTTCAAAGCACAACGCTGTTCACTGTTTTACAGAGCTCGTTTCAACAATCCGATCGCACAGAAATTCACGACTTGATTGGCATGGATGCCAGTTTCATTTTCTAGCAATTTGAAGTACGCGATGGTTGTGGAAGCAGCTTTGGTACACGAGACTTGTGTAATTTTTCCAGAGGAGAAAATCGTTCTTGACTATACTGCTTACCGTTTCCAGCTTTTGTCACCGATCTTCACGTTCGTGGATTCTCACCTGTTACAAGACACCACACTTTGTTTACCACGATTGAGGTATGACTTTTTACAGGTCTCTTTCAAGATAGTCCTGTTTCCACAAGTGATTCATATTCTTTTTTTTTCCAATACCATTAAGTATAAAGGATAAAAATTCTAAATCCTCTATCTGAATACATCTTTATGGTCTGAATGTATAAATATTTTCCGTCGGAAAGGGCTGTTACATACCCTTCCCAAAATCAATCAGTATCTGGTGACATTACGCCATCTATACGTACCGCCAAATAATGTCAAAATGTAGTTATGACAAATGCTGTCTCAATGCGACTATTCATCGACTGTGGTTGTCGCGTGACTTTCTAATTTGCCTAGTCAAAATATTTTTAATATAAGGTACTCCACTGTCTTTTTTATCAGCTGTTATTGCATTATTGAGTGATTCGTTTAGTTTTTTATGATTTTGAAAGTTTACTTTCATACATATCAAGTACACAAAATGTTTCGTAAGCATAAATAAATGTTATATCACTCCACGACCCATTTTACCAAAGAGTAAAACAAAAACATATACTTCAGACCAATGTGATAAGCCTATTTTAATATGATTATACTGATGTTAGGTCACGATATGAAATTAAACAGAACATATATTTTTATATATAATTTATAATAGCTAAAAAGCATTAAATTAAATCCATAATTTCCCTATTTAGAAATTCTCTTGTTCTTTCAGTAGATCATTCGCAATATATGCGGTGCGACAGTAAACAAAAAACCGGAAATCATTTGATAAAATGTACAAACTATTGGAAGAAAAGTACTATGTGAATTCCAGGATTGATTTTTTAACACGAAAAAAAATCACTGAAAATGCAATTAGCTCGGCTTATGTCACGTGTTGAGTTGTACATTAGTTTTGATAAAAAAGGTTTGATCTTTATAAAGAATGAGTCTTGAAAACTATTCTTCTACATATATTTTGCAGAACTTAATGACTGCAGTAATTTGAGTCAGAAATATAGGTGAACATGCCACTCGTGTAAATAAAATATTAACTTTGAGCTCAATATTTATTGAAGCGACTTAGAATTTAGTCAATATTAACAAACTATCCGTTGTTAGTCGTTTCTCTTAAATATCTCTGGGAATACTTTCAATACATTTTCCCATTGGAGTTTATATTTCAATGAATACGACGTCTGGCGACAGACAAGTGAATTTCATTTAAATCCAGTTGGTTTATTGCATACAGGCTGTATAAATATTTTTGTTTCGAATTCATTTTGTTTATATCGAATCATCTTTAAACACGTATACTCTTCACAATAAGCCTAGTAAATATTTGTTGTAGTACTGTGGATTTATTCCAACAGTTTATTGAAGGAGACCACGCTTAAATTATGGAGTCTTTAAAGTTAGATTTACAGTTTCCGATTACTTGCTACCTACACATTTTTTCATTTTATTTGATGTTTTAAATCAGATCAGGAATTATGTAACTATTGTATGATTTTATGCACCTGCTTCTTAAACTTGAAATAGAAGGTAAGTTTTAGAACTTCGAAGCAATGACGTTATTGAAAAGTTTCACTTTCGGTACAGAAGAGGACGAATATAATGCATAAAACTTATCCTTCTTCATTATATAAGTTTAAATGATTTAGTAGAAATGAAGAAAAATATGTGTGTGTGTGTGAACAAGGTTTACAAAATTGTACACAGTGAATATTTGTAGGCCCTTACTGGAATCTTTATGCACCACTCTGCTGACCGGTGTAAATTTCGCTTTACATATATATTTATTACCTCTAAAACATATTCCATACCATTTTGGTCAAGGTAAACATATATTTATTTGTTTTAAGTATATGCATTCCATATTAATAAAAGTTATTATGGACAAATTTCATAGCTTCTGCTGCTTAAAATAAATTCAAATTTACAAATATAGATATACATATTTTCTCTTTTAAATACAGTTATGTCTTCTTCCATTACAGTCAATGTCTATTAGATGTGCAAAAACTACGAAAATGGATATAATCATTGTCTATAGTTTGTATTTTCAAGTTAAAAGCCACTAAATAATTAGACAGTCACCAAATAATTAGTTCATCTTGTTTTTATTACTTTGTAAAATACTTATTTACAGAGAACCACAGAGGGGCAAAATAAGAAAAAAATACTGTACTTTAAAGAGTGCTCTTATAAACAAAAATTACACCATTACAGAATAATTTCTATAGCATCTAATTATTTTCCAATTTTGTTCACTTTCTGTTGTAAGCAAACCTCTTAACTTCAATACAAATGTTATCACCCGCACTAACATATTTGAGCTTTACACAACATTTTACGCTGTTTAACTTTTATTTCAATATCTAGAAACCATTTCTGAAATGACAATTATAAATATAAAACGAATACTAAAAACAAAAAGCAATTCAGATCATGTCGACCATACATTTATTTGTTTCTTCCAATGTTCTTAATCTTTATTTTGTAACGAATTTGTTATTATATATTCATTTTAATATCAACGTTTGTTTAACTTAAATTTATATTTAGAAATATATATATAGCTTATACTGTTAAATATGTATTGCAAAACTCCCGCCTATTCTCCAAAGTTGTAGAAGATTCTCGGTAG